CATGTTCGGTTCATGATATTATCAGCATCCTTCTCTAGAACAAGATTTCTGCTGCTTTAAGGAGGAAAACTACGAATGAATATAATGAATTTTATTTCTGAATTTAGTTAGTTAGTTCTTATTGGCATCCTTTTTTATTATTGCTTTTTATTTGACTTACCGTATTTGACGGTATATAAGACGCACGAGTGTATAAGACGTGCCCCAATTTCAGCAGGGCAAACCAAGAAAAAAATTAGTAATTAGTAAAATTAGTAAACCTACGTATAAGACGCAGGGGAATTTTAAAAGATATTTTTAGTTTAAAAAAAGTGCGCCTTATATGCCGTCAAATACGGTAATCTCTTTTTCTTCTCTTATTTTTTTTTTATTTTTGATCAGCAACTTCAAGTCTCTGTGCCGAAAATTATGAAAGATTGCAAAATCCAGTGATACATCATCGATTTTTTTTTTTTTTTACTCTTTATGCAGGAAATATGTAGTTTGTATGCTCAAAAAATGCTTACATCTGAACGGGGGAGTACTGATAAAGTCAGTGAACCGTGTTAAGTAATTAAAAATCCTGATTAAGTATACTTGGTTCAGATGCCGTCGACTTTTCATACAAATACCTACATGATGTCGTCTTAGAGCCACCTGCTGTTCCACCTTTTTATGTAGCCACTTTGAAGAAACTGATTATCGCTGCCATGGTAGCCTAATGCTATGAGCACTGTGTGTTTTCCTTTATCATGTCACAATGAAATCGGCCTTGTTAATGCACTTGATACATCTGAAAGCGAAAATAGAAAGTCAAAATTCGGCACATCTGGTATGACTTTCCATCAGGTCGACTTTTATTTATAGTCTGCGAGAGGTGTGTTTTTTTATACTATTGTTCATCCAATACAAAGACCAGGAGTAACTCAAGGTAGGCGATAACTGAATGAGGTTGCTGTAAGGTGTACAAGAAGAAAGCAAAAAATGTATATTATGAAGAAGAATATCTTCTTAATATACATTTCTTGCTTTCTTCGTTCCACAAAATGACAATTCTGGGGAAGAATCTGTCTGAATAGAACTTCCTCCTTACCAATGGTATATGAAAGAAACAAATAATCTGTTAGTTTATTGCATTTTTTTTTTTATTTTAAGGTTCAGAGCAGATTTTCGGTTACTGGTGGTCCTGGTTTGCAAAAGAAGCTGATGATTTAAATTTTCTAAGTTCTGTGCGTAACTAATATAAACATCAAGTGGTACAAAAATTAATTTCTCGAAATTTCATAAAATTAAATAAATGGTGGGTAACAAAAATGTTTTTACCCAGATTTAAAAAAAAAGAAACATTTCTAAAATAATTTCATTCATCTGTGAATAATTTCTGAAGGTTTTATAAAAGAAATTAATGATTTAAATTCTCCAAGAAGTTCTATGTATAACTAATAAAAACATTAAGTGGTACAAAAATTAGTTTCTCGAAATTTCATATGAGTAAAGTCCCAAAGTTTCCCAAGAATCTGACAATTATGTGATTTTTGCAGGAATTTCCAAATCAATGTATTTTTTTACTGCGAAAAAAATTTTTTGATTTCTCCGCTGACGCCAGAGAAACGATTTTTAAGCAAAATTTCGAACGTTGTAAAAAGGATAAAAAAATATAATTTAATAGTGAAAAATCTGTTGGTCTTTCCTTTTAATAATAACAAAGATTTTGACGATGAAACTTTGTTTTATCAAGTTTGGGGCATTTTTTTCATTATGGTATGCTCATTTTTTAACGCCTCTTTTTGGGGTGCCTTTGAAAGTTTTGACGTATTTCTTGAATGAATCCTATTTGTTATATATATGCAACTATTAGAGTGAAGATAAGCTTTAACGTATTTTAATACCTCGATCTGATTATAACGTCTCACACGCAGCGTAATATAGCTGCTGTTACTATCCATTTCCTTCTTGCTCTGTTTTGCTTAATCAAGCGCACATCTGCAAGCTACAGACGTCACCGAGTAATCTTTAACAATCACCCATCTACATACTGACCATATTCCATTTTGCTTAACTTTGATAAGACGAAAACCAGTTCTTTTATGCTGACGTAAACCCCTTGTTATTTATTAAGCATAGAAAGTCCGGTGTAAATGGGCTGATGATATTGCGAGGATGGAAGTAATTGCCCTGATACCGAGAACTTTGGTACCGAGAATTACGAATTTAAGCGCAGTACTCATAATATGCACTTTTGGCTTCCTCCTCCTTTGCAACGACATCATTTAATAGCTCTCTACTTTGAGTGGATCTTTGGGCTGTTGTTGACTGGTCTTCGCTGTCTAACTTTGATAGAGTTCAAAAGCGATTACACGCCCTTGTGGGTAATGAATTATGTTCCACCCTGAAACATTTATCCCACGGACGCTACATCGTTAGCCTCTCACTACTATATAGTTATTACTATGGTAAATGTTAAAAAAGAGCTATATACCTTAGTTCCACCAGTTCAGATCTTCACAAGTAGCACCTACCATGCTACGGACACGGCGTCAAAGCATCGTTATTTCCTTCGTATTCCTTTAGTAATGAAGAAGTTCCACTGAAACAGCTTATTCCTCAGAACTGTTTACACACTCCCGACCATTACAATCTTAACCACTTCAAGTCTGTGTTAATTCAATATCAATATCTTCATAATATGTACTTTATACTTTCCTCTCCCAATCACACTCAGTAACCCTCTACATTGAATGGTTCTTGGTTTTTATATTAGGTAACTTGCTTAAAAAGAAAATGAGTTTAGATTGTCAAAATAGTTAGAATATAGGAAATCCCAGATAATAATGGCTTGCGAGACAAGCTTTCTCACCACAAATCATTCCAGTTGGAGTTCTAGATATTTAACACACTGAGTTTTATCTGTCACAAGGCTACAATAGAGAAACGCCCAATGACAACAGAATCTACAAATAATGTCTTCACTTGATGGTAGACGATATAACAGTTAGAACTATTTTTCAATATGGGCAACAATCCATTCAGCGGAAGTATTAGACGTATTAAACGTTGTGCAAGGTCAGCCTGGATTTGTAGAAATACGATGACTCGCCTACAAACTAAACAATGCGCGCAGGTTCTTGGGGGAGTTGTCACGACTTTCTATGTAGGTCATGTTAACTGACGCCCAAGGGAAAAGGGAAAAAGAGACAGACATAAGAGGAGGAAATATACAGACAAAGAAAGAGGGCGAAATAATCAGAAAGATGGTAGTGGGGCTAAGAGAGAGAAAAAAGAAAGAATTCGCAGTGGAAGATATTTTTATAAATCTAAAAGTAGAAAGAAGAACCTTAGAAATTTGAAAATGGCAAAGAAAGAAAGGCTGAGAAAGAAAGAAAGAAAGAAAGAAAGAAAGAAGGAAAGAAAGGCTAAGAAAGAAAGAAAGAAAGAAAGAAAAAAAGAAAGAAAGAAAGGCTGAGAAAAAAAATAAAGGCTAGGTAAGAAAGAAAAAAGTATAAAATGACAAAAAAGAAAGGCTCAGAAAGAAAGTATAAAACGGAAAATAAAGTTCAAAATGGCAAAGAAAGAAAGAAAGAAAGAAAGAAAGAAAGAAAGAAAGAAAGAAAGAAAGAAAGAACAAAAAAGAAAGAAAGTTCAAAAAGGAAAAGAACGAATGAAAGAAAAAGAAAGAAGGGATAAAAAGTATAAAATGAAAAAGGAAGGAAGGATAGAAGGAAGGATAGAAGGAAGGAAAGAAAGAAGCTTAAGGTCAACTCGAGGAAGGAAATGAAATATAAGAGCAGTGATTTAGATAAAAATAAAGAAATAATAAAAATAGAGGTAGACGGCGATCAAAGGTAAAGAGAGTGGGTAAGAATTCGTGGAATGTTGTAATAAGAAAGAAAGAAAGAAAGGGATATAAATGCTTAAGATAGAAGAGAAAAAAAACAATAAAAAATAGAAGTAGAAAGTTTGATGAAGAAAGAAACAAAGAAAAGAACACGAGAAAGAAATAGAAAACGAACGAAAGAGTAATAAGTGACATAAAGTAAAATAAAAACAAAAAATAATAATAAAATGTAGGAAGACTTTCGTAGTAAAGCGAGTAGGGGGGGTATAAAAGAATTCAAGAGATGTTGGAATGAGAAAGAAACAAACGTAAAGAATGAACGAGAAAGCAGAAAAGGAGAAAGAAAGAAAGAAAGAAAGAAAGAAAGAATGAATGACCACTCCTGCTGCACATTCAATCTGGGTGCTAAATAATGTTTTGTGTGTGTGTGTGCGCTCGGACGCGTGTGTGTATGCGTGCATGTGTTCTATGTGTGTGCTATTTATCAATAGCAAACGAATTCATTTTGTCTATTTACACACAGTTATACATACTGCATGTTTTAATATTTTCCCATCAATACATCTATCCATAAACGCCCTCCTAGGTGAATAGAAACTCTCTTATCATTACTACTGAGTCGACGGGCGCCACGAAGAGTTATAAACTTGCGCTCTGCTGAGGTAAGAAGACCCCGCCTGCTGAGTTAACTGCGTATTCGACTGTGGTGTTCGAACCTGATAAAATCCTGTATTCTGAATGCTGATTTTCAAAGCTGTCGTCAGTTCTTCGCCTAGATGGACGCAATACATCCTTTGTTACTTCCGGTTAGGTCTTATGCTATCAAAAAATCCTTTGTTACTTCCGGTTAGGTCTTATGCTATCAAAAAATGTCCAGTCTCGACAGATTTGAAAAGCGCTTTCGCGGCCTTGTGGGTGATAAATTATTATCCACCATGCAACCCTTATTCCACAGATGAAATGTTGCTACCCTTTCACTATCTCACTATTACTATGGCAAATGTTCAAACTAGTTACATTCCTTACTTCCATCAGCTCAGACTTTCACATCCAGAACCCAACATGGTGGCAAATCATCTCTGTTGCTTTCCCGTTTCTTTGATAAGGAGCAAGTTCCATTCAGACAATCGGAATTGTTACTTTGTGGGACACACTTCTGAAATTATGCTTTCTTGAAAATTACAGATTGAAAGACCGGTTCTCGTACGATCCCCCGAAGTTAAGCAAAGCCGAGCTTGGTCAGTACCTAGATGGGTGACCACTTGGAAATACCAAGTGTTGTAATCTTGGATGTGCGAGTGGTGTAATGGATAATAGCTCGGAATTGTTAATCGGAGAGCCGAGTTCCAATTCCAGTCGGGTTCATTATATTCACGCACGCACAAATGCCCTTGGGAAAAGGTATGAATCTGCTACTTCAATCCCCCAGCTATTTACTGATGCAAACCGTACAAATTAACCAATATGTACAGTTTACATCAGCAAAATCATTATCTTCAAATAATACTTGCAATCTAAAACTATTTCTTATAAAAGTATAATGAGCCGTAAAAAAACAACTGAATCAATCAAACAACCCTGACAACTACAATCTTGGTCTCTTCAAGTGCAGAGTCAGTCTATATTGTTGTGTGGGAACCTACCACCCCTCTTGAAGATGAACTCGTCTACAAAACAAGGACGTTAACTAGTGGCATGTCAAAAGACAATGTAGAAGTTCTGGGCTGAGTTAGTTATAGACTACTCAGGCGATATCTGTACCAACTTACCAACCGAATAAACCCCATTTTATTGTTACATGTTATTTGGCGTTTGTCTTTATTAACCCCAAATTAACACCATAACATATATCTATCTTACACACCGTCAAGATATGCACTTCTTATTTCTTCCTTTCAATTCTCTTCCAAGAATCGCACTCAGTAACCCTCTACCTTTAGTGGACCTTAGGCTTTGTATTGGATGAACTAAAAAAAAAGACCACACATGAGAATTGACTTCACTGCAATAACTCTCCCATGATAGCATATTAAGTACTGCTTTAAGGCAGGCGGCCATACTTCAGTTATGATACAAGGCTACAAGTGTAGAGTACCCAACGAAGATTGAATTCCCTTTAGAATAATTCCTCCCCTGGGTCCAGATAACTAACAGAGAACTTGGTGAGTGAGGAGGTTGAAGGAGGAGGCAGATATTGGCTTATCTTCCGGGTGCATGTCGTATTAGTATGGATGTCAACGCCATACGGTTTTCTTTGCTCAACAAAAGAGGCTTTGAAAACAATTGAAAATCTTGCATTGAGGAGGATATCTAGAGTGAGAAGGGTACACATTACTCTCCTGGGTTGAGGTTCAGATAATAGACAGAGAGCATTGTCGAAGACGGAGGAACTTGAAGCAGACGGCAGATATCGGCTTATCTTCGGCGGGCATAAGTTCAACTAGTATGGATCTCGACACCACAAGTGTGAGAAACTGAAAAAACTTCACTGTTTGTCATATGTTCTGTCCATGGAATTTTCACGATGTGTCGGTGAAATCACATCACGGTCAAGATGGAGAATGAAGAAATTAAAGGAATCAGCAGATATCTCCTTATCTGCCGGCATCAGGTCGAGCTTCTCTGGATTCCAACATGTGGCTTTCATTGCTCAACAAGGAAGATGTTGGAAGTTTTTTATGAAGATCTAAGAATATGGCCACACAATATGCTGTAACTAGCTGCACGCCTGATTGAAAAATAAAAAAATATATAGAGTAAAATGATTTTATAAGCGTTGCAGTTTGATTTTTTTTTAATTCAGTCTACCTCTGTCTATGTCTACAGATTTTACATTAAACTATCACCTGAGGGAGGCCAATGGATAGATCAGCCGAAACGCTGTGTTGGCAAAATAAAAAGAAGAGATTAGATTTCCTGAAGAAAGGTTAGAATATTTGGAAGAAAAATGAAAGAAAAAATCGCTTTTTAATGTTTATTTCGAAAACATTGATTTGAATGAATTATTAAATAATTTATTTATGAAAATCAAATCGACATCTATTTTTTCTGTTATAATCGGGATACAATTTTAAGGATCAATAAAACAATTGTCAAAAATTAGAATTTAGCTGGTGCACTCAAACTGTCAAAAATTGTGACATGTTTGATTATCTATTAGGTTTTTACAGGTGAGGTTTGAGTTGAGTTGGTGAATTTTACGATATTCGAATTTTTATTGCAACACGAATGACGCGTGTTGAACTCCCCACATTATATTTAGTATTGTTGGAGTTATCGCTAACATTTTCTGTCAAGATTTACAAACTCCGCGTTTCATTCAATAAAAAAACTTTTAATTTTTCCAAAAAGACTAATTAAAATATATTATACTAAACTAAGCGCCCTAGTAAAACCAACAGTACTTTGTATCCCCTTACCAAAATATGGCTTCGATCGGTCAGTGTGTGGTTATTTTAGAGGGCGTGACGGACGGAGGGAGTGACGGACTAACAAAAGTCACAGAGTTTTATATATAGATATCAAGGATAGTTTTTTCAATGATTGTTTTCTATGGTTTATCAAACCTTTTCGGGTTATTTCAAACCAGAAATTAATTTTATATTGTAAGATTATTTTTTTATATTGTAAGATTATTTTTTTTTGTTTTTTTTTTTAGATAATAATGATTTTTACTGTCGCAAGTTTATTAATTCACCCATAGTTTGTGGGGGAAAGGTGGATTCATGCCTTTCACAATGGTAATTGCGCGTAAAGGAATATAACGAACCCGATTGAAATTGGAACTCGGCTCTCCGAGTAATAATTTCGAGCCGTTATCCAAGCCCACAACACCTAGCATTCCCAAGCAGACTCAACATTGCTTAACTTCGGTGATCGTACGAGAACCGGTGTGTCAACGTGATTTGGATGTAAGCCCTTCATTCTAGAAAGAAAGAAAGAAAGAAAGAAAGAAAGAAAGAAAGAAAGAAAGAAAAAGATGAGAGAGATGAGAAAGAAAGAAAGAAAGAAAGAAAGAAAGAAAGAAAGAAAGAAAGAAAGAAAGAAAGAAAGCCGGAAAGAGTGAGATGTTAAAGATATGAATAAAAGAAGAAAGAAAGAAAAGGGCGAGAAAGAAAGAGATGAGGAGGCAACGCAGAAGATGAGGAGGAGATAGGAAATAAAGTTGAAGACGAAGTCGTTGGTAATAGATCTAAAGTAGAATTATAAACATTGTTGAAAGACAGAAAACCTCATTAGCGACTGAGTGCAGAGGTTTTCATTTCTGTTCTAAATGACATCATTATAAAACGTCGTCATTATTTATAATCCAGCCACTTCAATATTTGAAATGCCCTCTTCACCAACCACCCTCATCAATTAGATCTTCCTTTTCTTTCCTTTTTACAACAGAATGTACTCAAAAGAAATTACAACTGACATTAAGGTTTTTTCCTTTAGGGCAAATCGTGTGCAAACTACTTAGAAAATATCCTGCTGTCGATGGTTGAAAAAAAAGAAAAAAATAATTTCACTCACTAACTTGTTTTTCGATTGTTTGTTTTAGTCAACCTAGTTTAGTGTCGTTTTAAAACGATGTCTCCTTTATAAAGAAAATCTACATTATTTTTCATAAAATAAAATGGTGGCTGAACAAGTAGTCAAATTTGACACCTGAGTAAATAAAGAGAATTTACACTTCACATATATTTCATGTCCGAAACATATACCTTTTCTCTGTTCCTTCCAAACAATTATTTATTCAAGAAATGACAGAGACATAGGGTAATTCCAAACATTAATATAAGATATGTAACTTAATATATGATAGAGGGAAAATGAACATAGCATAAGCTGTATCTGAGGTAGTTTCAGGTCCGGCGCGTCTTACCCCCGTCCGGTGTGTGACGGGGGGGGGACGTTGTGACCTCTGCCATTTCTTTCAGCACTGTTTTATGGTCATCTGTCATTTTTTTTAAATTATTAAATATTAATATTAATAACCAATATTACATATTACATATTTAATATTAATATTACAACCACATTCTCAGATCGATGATTAAAAATTGCTTCCAGTGAGTGAAACGTGTAGTTCTTATCGAGGATTATCATTCTTCGAACCTTCTGAACTTGCACTACAGAATCACAAACAAAGAACTGTACCAAATAACAGAAACCACATTACTGGGAGACTTCCAACAGCAGTAACAACTAAAATGGATATCATACGCGACTCGAATAGAATAATGACATAATCAAGTTACTGACGTTCCACACTACGCGAAGGTAATGAAGAAGACGGTCATCAGTACTGGAAATAACTATAACAGTTAGTGGACTTGACAAACCTATTTTCCTGAAGAAAAAAATGAATAATTTATAAATTTCGACCGAAAGTAGCACTAGCTGCTCGGCTAATGAATGCCGAATGTTTCCTTATAGGGAAACGGCTAATATTACCATTATCATTAGAGATGAGGAGAACAGACACTACAGTTTTATCCCAGACCAATGGCTAGGGAGTGAAGAAAACGTAACACGAGTAGCACAGGCTGCGGAGTCAATGAATGCCGAATGTTTCCTTATAAGGAAACGGCTAATATTATCATTATCATTAGAGATGAGGAGAACAGACACTATAGTTGGATCACATATCGGTGGCTAGGGAGTAAAGAAAGGCGTAATTTGAGTAGCACTGGCTGCTCAGTCAATGAATACTGAATGATTTCCTTATAAAAAAATCGGCTAATATTGCAATTACCATTAAAGATGCAGTTTAATCCCAGACCGGTGACTAGGGAGTGAAGAAAAGAATAATTCTAGTAGTACTGGCTGCTCGGTCAATGAATGTTTCCTTATAAGGAAACGGCAAATATTACTATTACCATTTACGTAGACAATTATACACACTCTATAAATGATATATTCGATTTCGTGGTTGGGAATAATTTAATATTTAGCACTGACATGAGCAAACCCTGCTCAAGACCAGACAAAACATCGTAAAGTCGAATGCCTGGTAATTTTATCGCTTTATTTTATTTTATTATACTATATATTAAAAATAAAACACACTTTCAAACGCTATCATCAATTTTTACAATCGAAAGAAGTATACCAAAAATAAATAAATTATAAGATAAAGAACAAATACGAAACGTTTATCACTCTATGTTTCACTTTTATTAAACCTTTATCAGAGAGATCGAGAAAAAGAAGAAATAAATTCTGGTATTTTTATTTTCGTGTTGTTTGATTTTCATTGGTTAATCAAATTTCGCGTATATTCAACTTGTTAAATAAATGTTACTATCATTTATGGCGTTTCGAATTCAAGGAGAGACGACGCGTCCTTTCTAATTTCCAAGAAATTAACGTATTTCATGCCTAACATAAAAAACCGTAAATATTTCTTTATGCATGTAAGTGTATAATAATTATTCAGATGATAATGCGCGCGCGCGTGTGTGTGTGTGTGTGTGTGAGCGTTTGTTTTAGATAAACATACGTTAGATTCTTTAAGAATGGATATAGTGAAAGTTGGAGATGTAATATGTTTTTTAACGTGTGTTTATAGTTAGTAATATTGTTATTAGTAGTCCTTCGAGATACTATCGTCGTAAAGAATTATATTCATTTTTAATTAAGGTGGCATTTGTAAAATCAAATAAATAAATAAAAAATGAAATTGCATAGCCAATAATGATGACTATGTGTAAAAATACTTTATTCATTTATTTTTCATTTATTTATTTATTTATTCATTTATTTATTGAAATTAAATCTTGCACTATCCAAAAATGTTCACCTAATACAAGGCCCGAGAGCCATTCAAGGTAGATGATTACTGAATCAGGTTGCTTTAAAGACGTAAGAAGCACAGATTATGAGGATATTTAAGATAAATAATGGTTAATTCAAGACTTGAAGAAGTTAAGATTGTAGCGAACAGGGAAGCATCCTCTCGGGAGTACGAATGAGATTGTTGTATGATGTAAGAGGAGGAGGTAAGAAGTGCAGATTATGAGGATATGTAGAATAAATAACGGCTGAATCTAGACTTGAAGCGGGTAAGATTATAGCGATCAAGAAAGCATCTTCCCGGGAGTCTGAATGAGATTCTTTTATGAACCTAAGAGGAGTAGGTAAGGAGGTTAGGATATGTATGATAAATAACGGTTGATCCTAGACTTGAAGAGGTTAAGATTGTAGCGAACAGGGAAGCATCCTCTCGGGAGTCTGTTCCGCAACGTAGCTGTCTGGAAAATCAGTATTATTGTGCTCTTTGTATATGATGTTCTTCACATGGAAATAAATAGGGGGTATTATTTTTTTAAGTGAAAATGCATAGAAAAGAAAAATTTGACCCTCACAGGACATATTGAAGCTAAGAGAGACGGAGAGCAGCAAATAACCTACCCTAGGGAGCTTATGTAAATGGATGACAGAACACGGATTATAAGTGATAGTAAAAAGACAAATATTAATAAGAGTCACAAGTTGTAGAGAGCCGTGATCGCCCACATCCAGAAACGGATCGCCCTTCTTAATAAAACCACTTACATTACAATGTGGGATAATGAAATCAAAAAACGATAAAAACAAAAGTGGTAGGAAACTGAATGAGGTTGACTTGGTTCTGTATCCCATGTATCTGTATTCCATCTAAACACATCTATACCCCACCTAAACACATCTGTATCTCATCCAAACGCATCTGTATCCCACTTAAACATATATGTTCCCCCATCTAAGCACATCTGTATCCCATCTAAACACAACTGTATCCCATCTAAACACGACTGTATCTCATCTAAACACATCGGACACCAGAAATAAAAGTTCCTACAGAACGTAGCGAAGGAAAGCGAGAAGAAAGGACTAAAAACTACAAAACGACAGTCATGCATGGTTGTTAATAAAAGGAACAGTCCAAAATGCGCATTACAAGTCGGAGATACCAAAATAAAACAAGTACAAAAATGTAAATATATGGGAAGTGTTTTAACAGAGATCAGAAAGTGCGACATTTAAATACGAAGGCGCATTGGGATAGACAAAGATGTCTTCCAAAAGCTAAGCAAAGTATTAAGAGACAACAAAATTCCGTTAGAAACAAAGAAAAGAGTACTCTACTTTTGCATAATATCTATCCTCCTATATGGCAGTGAATGCTGGACAATCTCCTTAAAGATAAAGAAGAGATTTGAAGCATGCTGAGGGTACCATGGATCAACGACGAGGTTTTAATGAAAATGGACAGAAAAAGAAAAATTATACTTAACATCCGGAAGAGACAGTAGAAATTCCTGGTGCACATAATGAGAAAGAAGGATTTGGCTTTGAAAATTTGATACTCACAGGACAGAGGTCAAGAGGGACAGGAGAAACAACGCATAACATAATTGATGAGCTTACGTAAATGAATGGCGCAACAGGCTTTGGGAGAAATAACTAAAAGACGAAATTTATTAAGAGCTACAAAGGGCAGAAAATTGTGAAGAGCCATTATCGCCTACGTCCTGAAGGGACACGGCACATGAAGAAGACGTTCAAGTTAAGCGCCACTACGTCTTCAGCATTTCTCTCGGTGTATTTTTTTGGGATAGGAGGATATTTAATTACCTTCTCTACATATGTGTAATAAAATCAAGCAAGATATTATTTAGTCTGAAGATTTTTTTTCATTAATATACTAGTGCAATTAAAATATTTCTTCACTGTGCTTCCAGAGTAATAGTGAAGAAGCCTATTTCAAATTCCTCAATCTGATCTAGAATGTATATATAAATTGATACGATCTTGGCTTTATTTCATAGGTTCAAGGTTTCGCCAGCTGAAAAAATCGCGAGATCAGCTTTATACGTCGCTTCAGTGGATGTCCGTGCTTCAAAAGTCCTGCTTCACTTTTTGACATATTATTGACATAGATTGTTTCAAAGCCTTATTTTTTTATATGTATTTAAAATTAATCAAGCAAACAGGCTTTTTAAATATTTATTAAATCCATCTTTAAAAAAAGGCGAAATAAAAAGAACGACCTGATAAGAATATTAAAGAGAGAGAGAGAGAGAGAGAGAGAGATCCAGAATCAGAACATGAAAAGTAAGAGCACTGGTAAAAAATGGCTGCTGAAGTCATTAGGTTTATAATACCCAGAAATTCATACACAGATGTCCTCAAGGACACATGGCACAGTGGTTAGATCTAGTGAGTTCAATTCTCGGTTAAGGCAGTGGAGAACTTGGAGAGGTGAATTAACAGGAGATAACTGATAACTGGCATCCATTAAAAACATGGCACGTGGAACTAGAACAGTCTATCTCAGTGAGCGAAATAAAGGGTTCAGTTCGACATTCCAACCACCTGAAGAAGGCCGGAGCATACAACGGCCGAAACGTTGTAATAAATATGGCGACAAAGATAAGGACAATAGCCCGAATAATGTAAATAGTATAGATAGATAGATAGATAGATAGATAGATAGATAGATAGATAGATAGATAGATAGATAAAGGGCTTCAACCATCCATCTAGCTATGAGCCATCCATCCAGCTATGAAATTGCCTTACGCAACACAAATAACTTTAGAAAACCAGATTAACATAACAAATTCGTTTTAATTGCTAAAGAATTTATCGAGTGAACCGGAGCCATAAATTCGTTAGTGTAACCAGCACTTCCGTGATGATTCTGAGATGTCTATGCAAGATAAAACAACTGTCTCCATAATCTACATCGTGTCTCCTCTCTTTCTTCTTCTCCTTCTCCTCCTTCTCCTCCCCTCCTCCTCCTTCTTCTTCTTCTTAGTACCTTTCTTCTTTAACTGCACACTTCGCCATACCTCTCGAGATTACGAAAGACTGGACCAGTTTTCGCCAGAGAAAATAAACAACCGGTGATGTTTTCTTTGTTATCTCAACGCAGGATCCAGTTACGTAATAGCTGCCCGATTTGCTCTTAAAATACGAGCAAGCAAAACGTAACGAAAACAAACAAAAGAAAAAAAATACTTTAAAGAAAAAAAAAGCAAAACTAACCAGAACTAAAGCAGATAGCTCAAATTATTTCTCAAAGACAAAAAAAGGGTCCATAACGCTTATCGTCACGATAAATGATACCAACAGGCGAGTTAACAATTCCAGCCGGTTCTGTTTCGTCCGCTTTACACTAATGCCCTTGGGAAATGCATTATTACATCGTGTCTTCCCGTCCCCAACTATAGGTTAAATAACAGGATAGACCAGGTTCTTTAGACTTGATAGGGCATTGGTCGAGTAGAACGACAATTTTAAATACAAAATTGTTAAGAAAGTAACGGGAATTCACTTCTTTTAAAAAATGTGTCCTAGTAATTCATAGATATTTGTTTTAATCATTTTACCCCATCCAATATTATAAAGCCACTAAGCCGCACAAGGTTACATGAGATGTAAGACAATAAAGTGAAGATGTTGTAATGGAATGTCCCACACTCCCTATCGCCTATGTGGACTGACTATATCTGTAGCTATATATAGTGAGCACAGGATATACCTGAGGGCTTTCTTCAGCAATTAGTTAGAGATTCGTCTCCAGCTTTACCCCGCATTAGAAAACGGCCTTGTGTCTCATTCTGCCTCGCAGGAAGGTGGAGTAAATAACCTTGCTTCGGCAATTAGTTAGACATTCGTCTCCAACTGTGCTGGTCGAACTCTCTGCCTTCGGAGAGAGGGGGAACCAGACGAGTCTGGGGTGATAGACAGCTACTTGACCCCGTGTATACGAGGTCTACTGGAAATTTATGCCCGAGCCTACGGGCTCGGTTTTACCCCGTATTAAAAGAGGCCTTGTGCTACATCCTGCCTCGCGGGGAGGTATGGTAAATAACCTTGCTTCGGGAATTACTAGCCTGCCACCCGATTTCCTGTCTTTCAGTAGTGTATTCTCTTTTACAATAAACCTCTCTTCTTTCATCAACGCACGTGTTGCTGTTCCTTCACTCGAGTACCACCTTTGTAGCCTCTTTAAGTATACAACAGAAGGAAACAGAGTAAACGTTACTGAAGAGAAAGGACACTAAAAAGAACAGGATAGAAGGTGGCGATTGACGTTAGATTTAAAGTTTTGTAGATTGTAGCTGATAGAAAAGAACAAAGTTGAACGAGAGTTCCATAGGTGAGAGAATAAACTATACGAATAGAAATTAATTTGTTTCAACAACAAAATGATGTGACCTAGCTACCAATATAGTACCGTGCTTAAATTCATGAAGTTGAGGTACCATCATAACAACTACCATGAAAATATGTTTGAGAAAAACGTTCAGGGAAGCTACGTTACGGCTGTGGTAAAGTGACCGAATCCGAGATGTCAGTTCATTAAAAAAATGAATCCGTTGAGAGTCATAACCGTCCTAAAAGTAAAGGGCATTTGTAGGATTTACTCTGCCTCTCGACTTCTCGAAGGCTGTAATTTTCTTGTAAATGAATCGACTGGGTATCTCACTTCTCTCCAAGTTGTGAACTTTGTCAGTCTAGCCGACAGACGAACTTCACCAGTCGTAAACAGAGAGGAAAAATAATATCTGTTTAAATGTTTCACTTCCTCTTTCTGGAATTTCTGATCAATGAGGGATACTGAAGGACAAAGAGATACAATGCCAAATTGCTACATTGTGGTTTATTCTGCCAGATTCAATGCTAATTCTGTCGGTTCTTGGACGGATTAGGTAAGGAAGGTGATTCAAATTTGGCAATGGGTGGGGGTGAAAGAGGCTTTTACATCCGATATCTTTGGACGGAGTTGCAACACTGACTAACATGTTAGTTGGATTTCTCTGGCTCGTGGTAAGCACCTCATTTGATTCTGAAAGCGAGGCTTCTTATACTGAGACTAGACAATGACAATAAATCAATAACATAATTCATAAGGATACAGAGTCTAAATCTTTTCAGACAAATTCCTATTTATTTAAATATTAGCACGGTTAATTTTTTTTTAAGATCTAACTAGAACATTTAATCACGCAATTACTGCCGCTTGCTTCTTGTAACACAAAGGAAGGGTTTTGTATTATTCCTCACATTTGAATAAATAGAAAAGTTAAACAAAAATAAAGATCACAGCTTCTGATACTGAAGATGTAAAAAGAAAGACAAATAAACTTGAAACTTGTAAACAGACAAGAATGAATAACACAAGTAAATGTCAAGTAAACAGACAGAAATAGAAAGAGATTTAAAACTGCAGATGTGGTTAATACAATCCGGCCAATTGTATTAATCAATTTCTGACGAGCATCGCATATAACGCCAGTAACATGTTGCTCACCGGGTAAAGGCGTGCCTCTTCTTATATATGATGCGAGTTAAATCTCGTTGGAGATTTTAGTTTTGATTCACTGGGCTTTGAGCTTACATTAACGGTCGTAGAATATACCGACCTCGAGTTATGTAACCAAAAGCAAAAAGGGAAGAAGTTGAAAGACAAAAGTTGAAAGAATTAGATTAGCTGTATACTTTAACGGCATACCAATCACATCTCCCTTGTGAAACTCGCTTCCTGCTTCTTGCTTCCCAGTCAACTTTGAGCTTCAAAAATTAAATGCAATGTCAATCATTATCTTCCCTCTTCTTAATTCATGTTCTTTTATTGTCCTCTCTCCTTTTTTCTCATATTCTCTAACACTCAGTAACCCCCTTGCGTCCCAGTGACTTTATTGCCTTGCTTGGGGTGAAATGATTAAAAAAAAAAATCATCTTTTTTTCGTGTATAAGTAAACATTGCTTATTTGTAGGTAAACATCGGTTGGATTTATACCCGAGTTTATAGATAAACATTGATTGCGTCTATGTTGTACATTGATTCTGTGTATATTCAATGTATACGTACACGTTGGACGGGTTTATACATGAGTCTGTAGGTAAACATGGGTTGGGTTTATGCTTGAGCATATAATTAAACATTGTTTGTGTCTATATTGAATCTATAGGTAAACATTGGTTGGCTTTATATATGCGTCTATAGGTAATCAATGGTCGGGATTATATTTGAGTCGATACACTGACTGAGTCTATATTAAATTTAAAGTAAACAGATTTATATTAATGTATATAGGTAAACATTAATCTGTCTGTCTATATTGAATTTGTAGGTAAACATTTGTCGGGTTTATATTTGAGTCCATAGATAACATTGGTCGGGTTTATACATGAATATACGGATAAACATTGATTTTATCTATATTGTATCTATAGGTAAATATTGGTTGAATCGATAGACAAACATTGATCGGGTTTATACTTGAGTTCACAGCTCGTATTCATACTTGAGACTATGCATAAAGATTTGGTTGGATTTATACTTGAGTCTGCAATTCTCCAGCCATTAGGCTTACTTTTTTTGAGTTTGCGCTTTTAACCATTTGCATGTTATAAGTCCCACCAAGACAGCAGGAGCCGGGAATTAATGATGAAAACGTTCTTTACTTTTTATGTGCCATGTCCTTTCAGGACCTAGGCGATCATGGCTCTTCACCTCTTCCTCTATTCTTTGCAGCTCTCAACAAGGTCCTTCCCTCTGCTTCCTCCTCCAGACCACGTTCTGTCATCCACTTGCTTAAGTTCGCCGGGTATGTCACGCCTTGTTTTCTCTTGTCTCTCTTTCCCTCTATTCGACCCGTGAGTATCAGATTCTCCAGGCCCTCTGTCCTCATTATGTGTCCCAGGAACTTCAGCTGCCTCTCCCTGGTGTTAAGTATAAGCCTCCTCCTTGTTTGCGTCCTCTCATAGACGATAAGGGTTATACACAACTTCCTCGCGTTTGTCGCCCTTGGTAAATCTTGCACCTTCACGACACTTCTTGCACTAGGTGAACTTGTTTCTCTATTCATTTGTTCGAACCTGCCAAGTAGTCGTTCATCTTTTCTGATTCTCTGCGCTTTGATGTGCCCGAGCCTTCTTTCCTCGTTATGTGTCTCAAAATTTTTGGTTGTCTTATTATTATAGTTTTTTCGTCATCTTGAAAGCACGTTAAAAATGAATTATTGTTAATAATTCAACATCATAATGTTATTTTATTTTAATTGTCATCTTATGGCTGCTTTTTATTCCAACGTTCGATGTTGAAAAAATCTTTAGCTGTTTAATTAAACGGCGTAAATAAAGTTTTATTTATATTTTATGTTCGATGTGGAAGAGTAGATCGGCCAAGGCATTTGTAATAAAAAGTAACAATAAGATTTGAAAAGAAAAAAATCTAATAAAATTTAGGAAATCCGATAGTTGCTATCTATTTTATCATTTTGTCCGACGGGGTCACAGGCGAAAGTTGATAGTATGGTAGTAGAGATTGGATCCTTATTAATGATAACAAATAGTCAGTAGTCTGGCAAAATGGTGCTTGTCATGAAAGTGTAAGGGAAGTAGAGGTGTGTCATTGAATTCCTCCATGCGGGTGATATTTAATTTATTTAAGGTCATCGACATTTGCTGAGTGTTTACAGGGACCAAACGGTGTATGTATGCAGAGGCGGTGGGTGCATTTCTGCTGTACAGTTGAAAAATGATGTATGCGACATTGAAGGTGGCTCTGTTCAGGCTCTCTATTTGTTCGCTAGCACACAAAGCCAATGGTGGTAACTATGTGAAAAAAAAGGTGTTATTGTAACTGAAAAACTTGGATTTTCAAGGGGAGACAATTACTGAATTTTCCTAAGCTTCATTACTTTTGCATCAATTAGGTGTGAATAAGCAAACACGAAATACTAGTTAGTCCACGATATTTAAAAAAAAAAAAAAAAAAACGTAAACAACTCGTTTATAAGAAATTACACGGAAACTTGACTAAATTTTAAGCAGTTCTATTACAGACGTCCATGTGACTTAAGCAACACAAATACAAAAAAAAACGAATACAAAGAAAGACCGAAATAAACAAAAATAGTTATTCCATTATTTTGCACTAATTCTTCTAGTTTAGTTACTTTGAAATGTTTACAGGAACCAAACAGTGTATGGGAGCATTTGGTAACGCATTTCAGCTGGTTACATAGCAAGCACATCTAGCCAGGCTCTGAAAAAATACATGCATGTATAGCTGAAAAATTGCTCTATGCAATTGTGCTCTCTGCATCTGTTGTCGCTTCCGTGGAAATAAATCGGACGTAAGAACTTCAGATCACACTACGTAGTAACTCTCAGAATTCAAACATGAATTTAGACATGAAATAAATACTAGTTAAAAAGTAAATAATAGCTGAAGCCAGTTTTTTTTTTCTTTTGAATCGTTTATTGCATTGTATGGTTCAATATGTTTACGTCTGGGTATAAACACCTTCTCGATTACCCCATGCTGTGGCACCCGACGTCCATGTCTGCTTGTGTGTACATTAAAAATAATGAGAAAGCCAACTCTATTAACATTAGACTTTTTTTTTCGTCCTACCCTACCCGACATTATGCTTTATTCTATAGCTGATAGTATTTTTGTGTTTCACTACAGACGATATTTTTGTTTGCAAGCCAAACTAAAATTACTCAGTGTAGGAGTGAAATCAGGAACTTCGTCCGACTTTTCCTTGTTTCAACTCGAGAACAAAAACAATTGTTTTTATAAAGACCTTCTCTTTGTTATTATTCTTCAGATTTCTTTTACATTTTCCCTTGTCTCAATACGATGACTAAGCAGCTTGTGTTTTGTCGTTTCACTCGAAGCAATGCAATAAAGCCACTAAGACGGAAGGCGTAACTGCGTGTGAAAGAATCTTAGAGAAAAATCAACCATCATCAAGAAGAGAGGACACTAAAAGAATAGGAATTAAGACGACAAAAGATAACGATTGACATTTCATTTATATTTTTGAATATTAAAGTTCGACTGGAAAGCAAGAAGCCGGAAGTGAGTTCCACAAGCGAGAAGTGCGGTAGAAGAAACTGTTAGCATAGAACTAGCCATTTCAACTGTAAAATTATGAGACCTACTTGCCAATCTAGTACTGCACTTAAATCCCTAAAGTGGAGGTAACAAAAAGGGAAGCTAATCAGAACAATTAACATGAAAATATTTATAGAAAAGGCACAAGGAAGCTACATTTCAATGGCGGGAAAGTGACTGAAGTCGAGATGGTGGCTAACATTATAGATTCCTCTTCTTATCTTGTCAAAAATCTCTAAATACCTAACAGAAGCACCAGACCAGATGTGACAGCAATATTCAATGTAGAGCTGAATGATAGACATAAATGTGTAAAATAGATTCCGCTGAGAAAAAAAATATCTAGCACGACACAATGACCTAACTTCCCATCAGCAAAACTAGCAATGGACTCAATATAATAATTCTATTTCATGTCATCGAAATCGTTAGCCCAAGAAGAGCCACTGAGTCTCGCTGGGAATTAGCACCAGCCATACTCAAGAAATGCAAAAGAAAGATTCTCTAAGATGATTAAGAGCAAAACTGACAAGACATTCCTTGCCCCAGTTAACAACAGATTGTAGGTCATTTTTAGATCAGCTACAAATTTGACAAATTTCGATGAAACCATCTAACTTACCATTAAGGCAGGAGTAAATCGTTGTGTCATCAGCACAGATACCCCGACCCTTGTCTTCAATGCATCAACGTGCTTGATCCTTGTAATATACCAAAAATTTTAACCTCCTCTTTTTGATTGTAAGTATTATAGATTTCCTTGTAGTGCCTATTTTCCTTAAAACTTCCTTATTACTCACATAATCTGTCCGTGGTATTCTCTATATTCGTCAGAAGAACCACACCTCTGTCGTTTCAGGTTTCTGTTTTTTCTATCTCTTAATACTT